GTCCTCGACTTACGACCGGTTGGGTAGTCCTTGACTTACGACCAGTTTAGTCCTCGACTTACGGCCGGTTTAGTCCTCGACTTACGACCGGTTGGGGTCGCGGCATTAAAAAGGTTGAGAACCACTGCTATAGTGGGTCATTTTCCCTTTCCCTAAGCACCTTATTTTTCAGATGCTTAGGGAAATTTAATTTTGCATCTTCTTTAGCCCAAAATTGCATGGCCCAAACCCAAGGCTTTGCTACTAGATTTGCTACTATAAATCAAGGAATGTATAGAGGTCCTGTATATTCCTCAGCCACCTTTTCTATAAAGCTTACATGATTACTAACATCACCTTCCACCTTTAAGGCCCTTATATTAATTTAACTTGTTGATTTGTATCAAATCCATTTCTCTTTCACCCGTTCCCATTCTGCTTCCATTTATCTGTGAGAGTCAGTGTGAAACAGATGTAAAGTTATCATATTGTTCTTACTCTTCAAAGACATTATCAGCTCCCAGCTGGTTAATGAAAGACTCAAAATGTTTTTTCTCCTCACTATTAATTTCCTCCAGGAACAAGGTTGAAGTTGCCTTCATCAAAGCTGTCTTCCTCTTCCTGTATTATCAAGATCTGTGAGGTCAGCAAATGCCCTGCAAATAAACAAATATGAAATCATGCCCCATATTCATGGAGCTACTATATGAAAACTCCTTAGTGTAGTGTTTCTCAACCTTAGCAAGGTTGAGATATGTGGACTTCAACCCCTTCATCTCCATCCCCTCTAAGGCCACCTACAATAAGATAAAATGGAAAAAAATGGGTAGGTGCCACAAAAGAACTACCTTTTGAATTTTTATCAAGGTTTGCTCATTCACTATTGAACTCTGGCACCTTAGTCCCACCAAAACAGAGTAACTACTAAACGCTTCACTTTACCTGCATATCAGATTGTGGAATATAAAACTTCTGTGCTTTTATCAATCCCAGTTCTTTTCCATGACTTTAGAATTAAATAATTCTTCTTCTGAGATAGAATATTTTTGTGGGTTTTCACTGGGGCTTCTTCTTGTTCCCAGGGTCTAAGTCTAAATGTTCTGCCATTCCCAGGCATTCTCTACTTGTACATGATTGACAGCTTCATTGGATGGGGAGGGTATTTATCCTTAATGTTTACATCCTCAGTAGCCTTATTATTTTGACATATGAGACAGACATGGCACAGTATTAATATTTAACTGCATTAACATTTCACTCACAAACTTTTGCACAACTAAACCTTAGTTAATTGAATCATAGTTTATATAACACACTGAACTGTAAATTAATTTTATCAGCTGGCTGAATTCAGATAATTCAGAACTTCAATCTGAAGGATCCCAGGGTAATTTAGGGCAGCATTTCTCAACCCCAGCAATGTCAAGAAGTGTGCACTTCAAATTCCAAAATTTACCAGCTACCATGCTCGCTATGGAATTCTGGGAGTTGAAATCCACATAACTTGAAGTTGTTGAGTCATAAAAATACTGGTCTAGGGTATTGTATAAATCCAAGCATGGGTAACCGATCAAAGTAGGTGTAGAGTATCAGTGCATCTGCTTGCTAACTGAGACATATTTTAAAATGAAACTCACTCAAAGACCATAGGAATTAGAACCAGGAACATAGATTTACATACTTCAGCATCCAGTGTAGAAAGTTGCAGAAATTTCCTGACCTAGTAAACATTAATGGATTCTGAAGTGATTGGCTACCTAAAGCTGCCAGTAGATTTCCTGCACCTGGAAGGAAGAAAACATCTTTCATATGGGTGATCTATTTTCTTAAGCAACTACTTTCATAATGTCTGATCTCTGATTTCTAACTTCTGGGTTCTAATTTGGCTGTTACTAAACTCCAAGCTCAGACAATAGATCAATAATATTTATAGCCTGTGGACATTATTTCCTACCCACATATATTTTTGTGGCTTATGATAAAAATTTTATCATAAAATCATTTTAAAGCACCTGGTGGCTTTAAAATGTCCAGCCACCAGGTGCGGAGGAGGCCATAACATATGTTTAGTTTGCAGAAAGTCCTGTGTTGAGTACCCATCTTTTCTAATTGAAGGATCAAGGAGAACTGCAAGAGGAAAAATACTCTCTCCTACCGTTTTTAGGGAAAAATCATAAACACTGTAAACTATAAAACATAATTAACATAGCTTTTGAAAACAGAGAAATTCTCAAGAATCCATGTTGGGCCCCAATCCATGCAACATACTGCCAGCTCATTTCAGTTTCTGTAGCCCATCTTCATCTCTCTCTCTTAAAAATGCTGTTATCAATTGCAGCCTAATGAGCAACTGCCTGCCCAGTATAGAGTCCACATTTACAAATATATTCTAGATGAATGTATTAGATGCCCAAAGCAAATACACTTTTTCCTACACTGGCTGCTGAGGATTTTGGATTAACTGTAATCCAAAATCTTGTCCTGGTGCCTCTTTAGGAAAATCTTAGGAGCTAGATACGTTGTCTCTCATAGGCATTGTATGCTTTTATCCATACTGATGAGATTCAGTATGTGAAAGGAGGCACAATAAGGAAAAGGCAGTGCAATTTGATATGCTGCATTTGGCTTGTTTTTGGAAGCAACTCACTTTCAGAGACTGGATTCACAGATGTTAAGCCATAGTTTGTTTAACTACAGGTTCTAAAATAAGTCAAGCACCTAGTTGGGTTTACTTATAGTACAATCATAAACCAGGAAATCAAATATACTGTAACTGTCACATGCTAAACCAAAACCAGACAAAGCATATTATGGCTTAATGTTATGTATGAACTCAGACCCAGTTTCCACTATTAAAATAAAATCTAACTTCAAAATTTTAAAAAAAGCCTTCTTAGCCAAGTCAGAGATGAAGCATAACTTGAAGTTTAACTCTGGCTAAACTTTTAAGAAAACTTACCAGTCAATAAAAAGACAGAGCATTTAGGGTGCTCTACGGTGCAAGATTCATCCACTTTAAAGAGATGGTTCCCTTTTTTTCCCCCTTCAAGCGGAAGTTAGTACAATTGCAGAGTGGCGGGGAGGTTTTATCTGCTGGTTCATTTCGTCAGCTGCTCTGAACCATCAGTTTGTCACTTTCATTCTTGCTCAACCCACCTCTGGTTTAGTTAGAAAAGGACTGTCCCCTTTTTATTTTTTTAGATATAGGCACCATTGGCTTCAAGGCAGTGTTTCTCATGCTGGGGAATTCTGGGAGTTGAAATCCACGTCTTAAAGTTATTAATGTTGAAAAACACAGCTTTAAGGGCATGCTGGAGATTACATTTCGTAAAGCAGTGGGACTGAACCTAGGAGAACACCTAAAACTGATTTTGTTTCTTTTGCATTTACGGTAATTCAAATAAAATAACATTGGAATTGTTTCTCATTATTTTATGTATGTATGTAATCTTACATTACATTAAATATTGCATTTGATAACTTTTAGCATTCCCTGAGGACATTCCTAAGATTCTTAGGGACCATTCATACTACTGACATATATTGTATTTCTCAACAGATCTTTTGGAGAATTGGGTTTGCTTCCAAATTTAATGCAAGATTAGAAATTTGTTACACAGTTAGAATTTGTTGTGCTAAATGTAAGACAGAAGCTCAAAATGAAATTCCTTTTCAAATCAACTCTACACAGGACATATTTCCGAGCAAATAAAGGATAGCGACAACTTATCACAAATTCATGTCAGTCTTGGTTTATGTAACTGTGACGGAGGTAGAAATATATTAATATGTCAATATTGTATAATATAGAAAAATATACAATATGGAACATAAAGTATTTATGCAAAGGTGCACTCATGAATTTCTATGCTGGAGGAGTTTGTCTGAATCAAAGCTAGTCTGAGATGGCAGCCAAGAACATTTTTTTCCCATTCAGGTTAATTGCTGTTTTTCCTAATAATAACTGTGTAATAACCTGCTTCCCTTTCTGTCACATTGTCGATTGTAAATGCACATTGATTAGCTGTTATTAAAAGGGACATTTTAACAAGCAATGATGCCTTTGAACCAATGTGTGCATTGCTTATCTCATGCGAAGTTAAGGTTTAGGCACAAGATGTCACAATCAAAAAGTTGGCCTGGACAGAAGCTATAAAATGGAATTTCACCCTAACAACATCCTAGAAAATTCAAAATTCAGCTGTATTATGAGTTGATCATTCTAAAGGATCAACACAATTACAGACCCAAGGTCCTGGTTTTTTAACCTAATTCATAGTTTATGTGAGAAAATATCTTCAAATATTGTAACTGTGGACTTTTGTATTTTATTCTGTAATCCTTAGACTGTCTTATCAAGAACACATTGTGCATTAACTTTTTTCAAAGCAGGATTTGCTAAGTGTTTCTAGATAATGCCATGAAAGATACGGAAATCTCATACAAACCTCTCTCTCTCTCTCTCTCTCTCTCTCTCTCTCTCCCTCTCTCTCTCTCAAGACTACTTGTATAGGAAGCAATCAATTGTAATCTGATTTCTTATACTTTCCCCAATATCACTTTTTCCTAGGTTCACACAATGTGCTAATTATAACACATTGCTTTGGGTTAATGTATGTATCTCAGCCACTGTAATTAATGGTTCAGTGTCTTTATGTAAGCTCAGATAATGGTGACTTATTCAATAAACCACAATTAAGCAAACCCTACTAATCTATTAAAATACAACAATGGAAGAGGCTATGCTTGATATAATGGCTGTTTTCCATACCGCACTTATCCATGATTAACTGAATCATGATTTATTCACTGAAATGTCAGGTTAAAAGAAGATTGGCTGGTCTGTAATTCAGTGGATTGTTCCACTGAATTTTTACCCTGTAATAATTTTCTTTTGTAAAGTCCTTTACCCTGTAAAACTACTATTACTATTTTTAAAGGCCCATCAAATGTCATCACTAGACAAAGCATTTGTATGCTCAATTCTGATGAAGCACGCAAGAAATTCACACCAGGCAAAGTGTTGTTCCATTATGAAGTGGCTTTATTTTACTCTCAGACTTAGTCAGTTCAGCAGCATTATATTCACAACTGGATTAATGCTCAAGAATCCCAGCATAATCCTGAATGTAAAAGTGCAACTGTCAAAGTGGCCAAATGTGTCTATAGAAATTCTAACTAAAAACTTCAGAAGATCCTAAGGAAATCTATTATATAAAAAGTGCCTTTTTCTGATAGATTGGCCCTTGTGCAGATGGAAGCAACATGAATCTCCAAACTCAATCAAGAAGCTTTTCTTTCATGGTTAAAACTACAAATGACCTGATAAAAGGAGCAATTTCCTAAAAAAAAAAAAAACATGTTACAGTATTGTAACAAATTTTTGAAAAGGGACCGTTGTCCCTAACCTATTACAACAAGATGGCAATAAAGATTATAATAAGGCCTGCACTTTTGATTATAATAGTACACTGTACCCAGGATTAAGATTTGGATATTTGATATGAAAGTGCAACAGCAAGTATTTATAATAGCCCCAAATTCCAAACAAAAAGTAATCTGTAAATTAGATTATCTCATACTAATTTAAGTGATACAATTGCCAGTTTGGCAATGCCTCTTACATAAAGTCTATAGGAATTACAGAAAGCAAGTCTGGGCCAAGTGCTTATATCAGCTTCTATCACAAATTTGCTATAACAGTGAAATAAGGCAACGGAAAGTCAAATATTATATTACATCCACCCTTGCTAGCACATACTATTTCCCCTCACTAATCACTACAGTGCTACATAATTACAAACTGAACAATCTGCAGATTCAATAGCTAATAATGCTGGCAAAGAACATACTGTATGGAAGGAGCAAGTAAGACAGTAGTGAAGTATGCTCAATTTTATGATTATACCTGTCTCTCTCACTAATATTATGTGTTGCATCTTCTGTCTTTTGTATTATTGAGAGGCAGTTATATCATATATTTCTGTACAGTTATATAACAAAAGGACATATAAATTACCCAGAAAAATAACTGATAAAGGCTACAATGTTATACAATATTTCCAACCCTACTCTCTTCACAGCAGTAAGTGCTATGGTTTGATGTACATTTGTCCCCACCATAACCATAGATTCTTCATCTTTAAGAAAATCCCTTACCAGCCTGAAAAAAACACCCAATCCTTTCTTTTCCCCTCACAATATTTCTTTAAATATAATGGAGTAAAAAGATGTAGGAAGATCACAAGTCTAAGATATTATCCTATACTTCTATTGATTCCTGGATCGGCACCCGCATGTAGTGAGATCATATCAAGCTTTTCCTGAGGCCCATAAAAGATGGCAAGTAGATAACACATAAAACAGTTCTCTGCAGCTAGCAGAACTTATGTTGGCCCTTTCTTGTGTCCATCAAACTGGCCCCTACCCACTTGGCCCTTTAGATATGATCCCTCGTGCTGCAACTTACCTACGGTATATTTAAAGATAAGATTTTACAATATTTCATTGCACATAAGGCTCCAGTGCTACCAATGATTAAAAAAAACTATATCCTTCTGAAGTGTTATACTAGTCCACTAAAACAGTTTACATAAAATAACAGATATCTGGATCTTCAGAGAAGGAATTGTAATGCTGATTAGCTGGTCCTTCAAAATAGCCATCCTGCATGAGTTCACTGGGTATGGTACCCAAGTAGGTCATTCCAGCAAATAATAATAAAGACAGGTCAAGATCTTCAGCCAACAGACTACATGGATGCACTTTGCTTGCAGTGTTGTTATCATGGCTTTGACTTATAAGGGATAGTTCTTCGCTTTGAACCATAAAAGTCTAGAAAAGATCAGAAAAACAAATTAACTTTTTTACTAAAGGGGTAAGAACAAGTGACCACAGATTTTAGTACAAACATCAGTCAACAAGGCCTTGCATCTCCAGAACTGTCATAGTTTTGATAAACCTTAACACTGCAGTGTTTGTTGGTGTATTAGGGCATACGCTCAGGAAATATATCAGAAATAATGATTTTATCACCAAATGCCAGCTTTTGTTTCCTTTTCCTATTCTGTTGTCACAGAAGACATGCAGCCTGATAAATATGACTAGGTAGAATAAATACTCCATCTATAATCTTACATATTTTTAAACCAAATATATAAAATGCTTCAACAGGGTGTCTTTACACATATATTTGCTATGTCTCCAAATTAAAAACGAATTTACTTGCAGAGTTTCCAATGATGAATGAACACTAAATTTGTTAAAGATTATACACACGCACACACACACACTGACATATCACACCATCCTTAACATAATCTGTGGCAATTAAGTATCTTCTATAAGTTAAGTCAAGACACAAATGCTCCATTTTAAACATTAAGCTTTTGAACTCAAATTGTGATTTTTTTTAAAAAAAAAATGGGATTTGGGTTTTATAAAAAAATCATTTCAGTTCCAGTTCTGGATATTAACAACTCCTATATAACTTAATACAAAGAACAAATAGAGCTGCCCCATTCTTACCTTTGATACTTGTCTGCTTTCTTTTCAAACATCTGGGGGAGTCAGCCTTACAAGCTTCAAGGCCCATCTGCACTTGTCTCTCTGTCTTTGTGTGCCTCTTGAAGAGTGCTGGTGAACTCCGGCTCTTTTCCCCTGTACAGCTGTTCTCCTTTGTATGGCCCAAGAGATCTGGAGATGGCAGCATATTTAGATGAGAGACCTTCTCCCATTTGTAATTCCCTTCCAGAGGGGTTTCTGTTTCAAAGTCAAAGTTCCACTTTTGTTGGGCTTCCTCCAGCTGGACCTTCATCAAGGACTGAAAGTCCTTCTGGACCTGCTCATGATCAACTGGTCCAAAGAGATTTCTGCATAGTTTCCTGCTGCAGGAAGGTTGAAGGATTTTACTCTCAGAAAGAGGCATGTTTCCTACTGGGAGAAAGATAAGGAACATTTTAAAAAAGGAGAGGTCACTTTTTACCTCCAGGCCAGTAACAATAAAAAAATTAATACAGTAACTAAATTTCCTTGAAAAGCCTATTAGGATAACATTGATCATTCTGATTCAAATTACTGGAATTTGACAAAAATAGCATGATTTAATCTAATTTATTAAAGAACTGCAATATGTCTCAAAAGAGAGATACTAGGCATCATTGTATCTAGTGACACCAGCTAAGTGTGACAGAGCCCATGATAAAATGTCATTAGAAACCTTAGTTGAAAAGCAAGTTTGGATCAGTGGGACATTTTCATAATCTGGATACAAACCATATCTCTAAAAGAACTGAACCATATAGAATTGTACTTATGAGATTTTCAGGGACATATTTTACCAAGAGTTCACCCTGAGAAAGAAGCATGTCAGGGAATATTTGAAGAATTAAAGTTTCTTTGGAGTAACTATTACCAGCTCCCAAGTAGATGCTCTTTGCCCTATACATGCCAGTATTGTTCTTCCTAATGTTTAAACAGTTCTGAACACAGAAAAGGGTTGCCCAATAGTTATAAGTAATGAAATGCTTCTAGTCCATGGAGAATGAAAGGATTTGCACAACCCAAATGTTAACATTGTTGTCTCGTGTAACCTTTTTCTTACTGGAACAGTACCACTGGGAACCAACAAAGGCAGGTGCTATGCAAAAGAAAGTCCTACATTTAAGATACAGCATTTTGCACCATGCAGAGTTTGTGTATGTTAAGGTAGCCTATGAAAGTGGAAATTTCCATTGTCAGATATCTACTGTTTATACATCCTCACCATTCAGATAGGCCTAATGTTTTGTTTCAGAATTTCTGCTGATTTTTTTGTATTTATTCTCTCCAAAAGGTACTTCATACAGGATTCAAATATTTCACCCACTCATATTCTGAAGTACTGTTAAAATAGAGATTAGAACAGCAGCAAAGTGTATATGTGTGTGTGTGTGTGTGTGTGTGTAATCAAATAGGGTGAGACAACAGAAACAGGGTCACAATACAAGCATACAAAGGACTGCATTGTGATCCTGTGTCTACCATTTTGCCTTTTTTATCTTCCTCTTTGGACTGGATTAAATTAGTCTGGAATAATAACCTCTGACTTCCCAGATTTAAAAAATAGAAAAGATGTATGAAAGATATAATTTTACATATCCATTCTACATTTGTGATAGCATCGTAATAGCATGAAATGCAATACAACACAATAAAGTTCCTGTTTTAAGAACCAGGTAATTGTAAAGGAAAACCCCGAGTCAAAAATAGACTACAACTCTAACTATTAGCAGAATAGTACTTCTCCATCCATATCTTTTTAACATTAACAATGCCAAAGTCCAAGTCTGCGGTTATGCAGCACGGATCATCCAATTTCTGTATATGTTACAATTCTTCTGGCCATAATGGAGTTTGCATTAATTACTTCAGTGTATTTGATAACTTTAACCAATAAAGAGCTACAGTTTGGTATCTTCTCATTACCTCCCCTCCATTCACAAAACTCATCACAAGGCAAGCAGCTAAGGCTTATATTCTGTATTCATCCAATAAGGCCATCCTGCATTGATGCCATTTTTTTTTATGAATTCCATTAATGAAGAGCAGATTACTAGAGAACCTCCAAGCATGACTTCTGACTAGTGTATAAACTGAAGACCCATTTCACTCTTTGGCAAGCCATCTTTATTTGAATACATATACAGTACATCTTTCCACACATAAGCTCTGGGTCAAAAACACAATTGAACTGCAATGCCCATGTCTCTGTTATTTTTGGTCAGCGCTTCCCCAAATAGTCCTCACATCTGCATTGCTCTGCATACTGATGTTGCTAAAGAAGAGGCAAAGAGATGAAAAATAGTAGCAGCCTTCACATATCCATTACACACAGCTATGCCACATGACATCACTCAGAGCTTTAGTCACATCAGGACAAGTCCAGGCAGGTTCGTAACTGCCAAGGACAGGCCCCAGCTTGATCAGTTTTTAACTCACCACTTCAAGTCACTAAAAGAGGATGCTTAGCAGATATTTGCAATTCTCAGCCATTTACCCCACAAATATTAACTCTGAACTGAGTTTCTTTATTCTTATTCTTTCATTGGAACCAGTTGGAACCAATGAAATGGCAGGTGTGTATGGCTGTGGAATTCTGAAAGTTGAAGTCCACACATTTTAAAATTGTTGAAGTTGAGAAACATTGGCCTACCACACAGACAGACAAGCTTATGGATTATTGGCATGCTTCAAAAGGAGTGAGGGCACAATCAACTGTAACATCTGTCTTACAACAGTGTCTGCATCTCAGCTGAGTTAAGGCCAATCCACATAGCACATATATGGATTCCAGATCACAAATACTTGTAGATCAAAGTGTGGGGGTGGGGAAGGTATCATTAGAATATACTGTACCATTATATGCTTTCAATATATGACCAAAACAACTCTGGGCAAGTTTTTGGATGGTTTCTCCTAGTTCTCCAAAACCCTAATCTCTGAAATTCTCAGCCAAAAAGAGACCAAGCTAGCTCTATTTTTGATATCCTTCTACCAGCAAGCAAAGTTATTTTCAAGACAACACATTTCTGGCTTCCAAACCAACATGTTTAGTGAAGTATATTTTAAGTATTTATTTCTCAGAATGTATCCTTATTTTAAGTGTTATTCAGAACTTTTTCCTTATCTTTCTTGTTGCCTTCCACTTGACAAAATGACAAAATATAAATTGACTAAAGCAGTTGAATACACATATATACCGGTTATCAATGAATTTAGGCAACAGGTTTTTAAGTGTTTTCTTATGTCATCCACATCCCCCAAATTGTACAATTAATTAAAAAAAGTAGTCTTGGTTAATTCTAAGTAACTGAGTTTCATTGTGGATGCTTGTATACTAATATGTGCTCTGTAGCCTGGTTCCTCGTTAGTGCATCTGACTTGAGAAAAGAGACTTGTTTGTGGCTTCATGACCCCAGCCACAATGGGTTATAGCAGTGGTGGCGAACCTATGGCACGGGTGCCAGAGGCGGCACTCAGAGCCCTCTCTGTGGGCACACGCACCATTGCCCCAGTCCTAGGCCTTCAGCTGGGTTTTATAAAACCTTTTCACTTTAGGCTTCCACCGCCGTGTGCAAAAAAAAAAAAGGTTCAATCAGTCAATTTCAACTTCTCGCAGGAAAAAAAAATCTTGCAAAGTTGGAATTGATTGATTGAACTTTTTAGTCCTACCCAGTCTGCCGCTACCACCGCAGCCACGGCCAGCCAATGGGCCACACCCAGCCAATTGGCCACACCCACCCAATGAGCCACATCCACCCGGCACCCGACGATGCATAAATGGGTTTTGGCTTGCAGTTTTGGCACTCGGTCTCTAAAAGGTTCGCCATCACTAGGTTATAGTGTAATGTGTCCCTTGAATCCATCTATCTAGTGTGTCAGTAAGTAATAACTAAGCATATTATGCAAACACAGCCCACACAATTGTTCTTTGCATTTGTTCACATATTGTCATTCACTATGAATTTTCACCAGTGCTTCCACTACCATGATTTGGTTCCCATCATACCTCAAGCCACTAACTGTGGTTACAAACCATAATGGTGGAATTCACATAACATGCTAAAACCACAAAGAAGAAAACCGCACTACAACTTGCACCGTGAATCCAGCCTTACTGCCTGTCACACAACTGCCAACACTAATATTTCACTTGGCTACTAGTCCAACTAGCTCGGCACCTATCGAAAGTGATTGCTCTGGAATCTTTACTGCTAACTTCCCCAGTGCTTTGCAGAAATGTTGGATTATGACTCCCATACTCTCCTACAAGCTGCTATTAAGTTATCAGAAAATTATTTGCCACCTCTATATAAGGGGAGACGGATCCTTTGTAGGTTAGCAGATAACAGCGCCTACTGGTGGGAGAAAACACAGCAAACGTTGCCATCTCAATCGCAGCACAAATCTAGTCTCTGTTTACCCTGCAAACTTGAATTTAGTTGTTCTTTGCAAGCGCCAGCCAATCAAAATTTAGGTCACCATTGTTGAAACAGTAGCTATCCCTCCCTCCCCCCTCCCCTCCCCGCAGTTCAAGCGACTCGTCCCGCGGCTGCAAAAGTTTCGGTCGCGCCGATTGCCTGCTTTATTTCAACGGCGGAAAGAAATCGCCCGTCTCGTCGGATGTCTCTCTCAGCAGACCCTTCAACTCGGGCCCTGGAGTAAAAAAAGGAAAACGGGGACTTCCTTATCATAACGGGAGGAGCCGAGGAGATGTGCGAGACGCTCACGAAGCTCGCCCGAGGGATTACGTCATCTGGTACCACGGGCAGCCGCGTCACGTGCCGCGTTGGAAGTTGCGAAATCGCACTTGCCACACAGCCCCGACAGGGTTGCTGCCAGGAAATGGGAAACGTGCGCCGAATTTACTACGGCCCCGCCTCTCTTTCCTTCCCACACATATTGCCCCCCCCCTCAGCTTTGGGGCTTACGGTTTGAGCTCTTTTGAGGTGCGTTCTTTAACTTCGCCCTGCCCACGCCGCCTTTGTTTAACAGCAGCAAAGGAATGAGAAAACTCCAGGCGCAACCCCCGCGCACGAACTGGTGCCTTTGGGATTGAGGCTCGGCCTCCTTAAAGCTGGTCTAGGTGCTTCTTTTCCTCACCTCACTCCCCGCCCGCCCGCCTTTAGTAGGGGAGGAGGGCAAAGGAAGACGAGAATGCCACAGCTGCTCGAAGACACGAATTAACAATTCGGACTAGTAAACAAAAACCAGCCTCCGTCTAGCCGCTTTCCTGCCACCGCCTCCGGCGCGTGCCCGAGTTTGCGCGCGACTCTTAAAAAAAAAAAACCAACAAAAAAAAACCCCAACAGCGTAAGCGGGCTGATTCTCCAAACAGAGCAAGAACAAAAATAAAACTCCGTTTGGGAACAAGGAGTTCCCAATTGAGACAAGAACATCGGCGGGGCTGGGCGGAGAGTCGGAAGAACTCGTGCGTCTCAATGGTCCACCCCTCCCAGTGACACGGGCTATTTCTGCTCGCAGAAGCCGAGGAGACCTTAGGAAGGGCGCCCGGGGGCCTGTCTCGTTCGCCAGGAAGGTGGTGATATTTCCCTATCGAACGAGGCGTTTCCAAACGTCCCCAAACTGGCAGGGCTGGGCCTGAATTCTCTTACATCAGCCCCAGAGAGTGACTGTCACTGAATCACTCACGGCCGCCGCCTGACTCTCCCCACCCTCTCGCAAGCGGCAGCCGCCGCCTCCACGCCAGGGCATGCCCTGACAGACTCCTTTCCTAGGCAAAACTGGAGTGCAGCTACCCAAGAGCACCCCTTTTGGTAAGGCGGGAGAAGGCTCTTCAGCTCCTCTTGCAGGACTCGGCTATGGCTGTGGGCATCACCACTACCCTATTAGACACGCACGCACCCGGTTCTAGGAAGAGCGCACAAATCAGTTTCGCCTCCAGGAAAGAGAAGGTTTCTTCCTGGCAGAAGCCTTCATCGCCTGTTTTCCCCCCCTCCCCAAGAACGTCCCTCCGATTATCAGCCCAAACCTGCTACTTCTCCTTTTGCTGCGCCGTTTAATTTTGCTGTGTGTAAAAAAAAGAGAGAGAAAGCGAACGAATAAATTGTACCCAAAGACACGAATATCGCAACCCCGTTTCTCCTCCGTATCGTGGTCTTAAAACTAGCCTTTCGGGAATCTTGAGGGCAAATCCGACCACATTCAACGACCGCTCATCAAAGAGACTGAAGAACTTGGGTAAGAAGCCTCCAGTTGACGCTCTCACTTCCAAATGAGCCTAATCTCATTTGGCGGTTATCTCCTCCCGGGAGCAAGTAGGAAAAGTGCGAAAAACAACCCCACCATCCACCTAACGAGTAGCGAGAGGTGGTGGAAAAAACAGGTGGAAGGACGAGGTCGTCTCTACGGGAATGCGGAGCCTAATCAAACCGGGATCAAAAGGGCGGGGGAAGGCAGAGAGAATCAGTACAGCTACTCGATTCAGGTTCCAT